AGGGACGGTGGAGTTGTCAACTCGTTCGGCTTACACCGAGTCGAGAGTGGATAATCGAGATAAAATCCAGTGGCGGCTTAGCCACCCGTAATGACATCGGCGCGGTGCTGGTCGATGGACTCACATGTCGGATGTCACAATATTGTGCCGCCATGCTTCGCTGCAATAGTATAACCGTTTGATTCTTTTTCTTTTCTTTTTTTTTTTTCAAGTTTCTTCGATATATCCCGATAAAGGATATCATTACTGGTTCGATTACGGGCTCAAGAGGAGAGGAACTAGAACAACGTTGAAAACGAAATAACGTTTGCATCGAATTATCGAGCAAACTCGTTAAGCGCGGCTAGCAGCTCGTTCGCGATTATCGTTTAAATGCGATAAAGAACGATCACTCTGAGAATATGAGACGAGAAACGTTATTAACATCGTTCGAGTATATATGTAAATTATCGTCGATATAAATTATCCGCTTTTTTCTCTCTCTCTCTCTCTCTTTCTCTCTCGAACAGAGATACATTTTGCACGAAACCGGGAATAGAATTTATTTATGGCTCGCGTATACTACGAACCATCTTTATTAGCATCGGCAAAAAACCGGTGGTGGCGCGTTGCTCGCCGATTTTGCCCAACTCCAATTACCCCCTCCTCCCTATCTCTTGATAACAAAGGTCTGGTTTGCTCGTTCCCGACATAAATTACCCGCCGTTTAATTAAGCAACATATTACGAAGAAGAATCGAGCCCGTTAACAAACTTTTGCATAATGAGCGTCGGGTAGGTAGGTTTTATCGCGTCGTTCGCGGAGAGGAGAGGAAAAAATGGAAGCGGGGAGGGGTAAGAAGTGAAGAAGATTTTTATCGTCGGGAGGGAAAAAATGGACATCGATCAATTTTTTTCTTCCTTTCCTTCCTTCCTTTCTTTCTTTTTTCCTTTTTTTTTTACGGTGTATATTATAGTTAATTAGTAAACGCCAACGTGCGCGTTTCGCATTACTACGTTAATTACTAAAGGAAGAGAGGGGGGGGGGGAAGGAAAAAGAAAAACTTTCTCGTTCCATCGAACCTTTCCTTTCCTTTCCTTTCCTTACCGCGACGTTCGACGCGGGATACGTTCGAAAAGCGAGCGAAGAAACTCCCCCCGTTAATAAATTTCCCCGAGTAAACGAGGAAGGCCGCTTTATCAACGTCGACGAAAAAACGAGAGAAACGGTCAATTGGTTGGGAAACGGGGACGACCAACCGGGAAGAGGAATTAGCTAACGCGCGTATACGTATCCTCCTCCTCCTCCTCCTCCTCCTCCTCGGTTCTAACCAGTTCGCCGCGCCTCCCCTTATCTCTGCGTCGAGAACGATGTTGAGAAATAGGAAGGAAGGGACAATGAGGGGAAGAAGAAGAAGAAGAAGAAGAAGAATAAGGAGGAAAGGAAGGAGAGCGGCGTATAGTAAGGTAAGCACGTCGCGTATATACTACTTTGTCCCTTCGTATACACGTTGAATCATCCGGTCGGTTTCCTTTCACGAGCCGATGCCAGCCGTTCCCGCATCAAGCCCTGTGGTCTCCTCCAAGCATAATGACTCAATCCGCGATCCACCTTGCCCCCACCCTCTCCTCCTCCCAACCGGGAAACGGATCTTTCTTCCCCACTCTTCCCCGATATCATCCACGAATTCGCTCCCCTATGGTGGAAAAATGGCGAATACAGTTTCTTTCTTCGTCTTTCTTTCCAAATCCACGGAACACAACTCGACGAGTTTCGCGTGACGAGCCGCCGTTCGTTTTTAATGGACTCGTCCTGCCGTGAATGCAGGTCCGCTGGAACGAAGTAGGACGCGTAAGATCGGTGGCTAATCGCGTATTACGTTCTCCAGGGGGAGAGAGTATCGAAGATTCCCCGTATTTTTGTAGTTTTTCGATAAAAGAGAAAAAGAAAAGGAGGAATTCTCTTTCGCGGAGAAGATTCCTGGTCGACGAATTGACGAAATAATCTTTATGAATTTATCGGCCTCCCTTCCCTCGTTCGAGGGACGATGGATTCATGGGAATTTTCGTCGGAATTCCATTCGAATTTTTCACGGAT